CGTCCAAAATCCTCAATAGCATAGTTACACAATGGAATGTTAATAAAATGTTTCAAATTATGTCAGTCTCGGATCAGTCATTGACATATGTTTCCAACACATTTTCAAAACGAATACATGAAATGGGCAAGTTGGCCGTGTCTTTGAAACGTATTGAAAACAAATCGAAAATGTTTATAATTGCGGTCATTCAAACTTTTTTAAAAATAAGTTGGAAACGTTTCAAACTTATTTCAAAAAGGCATAAATTCAAATTTTATTTATTTCAAAAACCCAAAAAATGTGTAAGAATTGTGTCAGCTATGTGTTGTCAATATATTGCAGTCCGTTCAATAAACTATATCAGAAAGGTTTTGAAAACATTTCAAAACCATTGCCACAGCTAAGCCTATGATTGAAACATATTTACGGAACATTTCTGCCACAATTTATATGTAAATCAATGAACCTTTATTGACACCTATCAGAAAAAATGTGTGATTGTGTCAATTTTTTTTTAACGACCCAGGCACGGATTCTTATTAGATTTGTGTACGATGTGTTGTGAAAGGAGATCAACTAAATATTCTGGAAACATTTCTAACACATATTTAAAACGTTGCTGCAGAAATATTTAGAAGTTCGAAGTTTCTGAGAAATGAACCTGACATATTTCTGACACAATTTGGCAACGTTTCCAAGATCCTTCAAAAACATGTTTCAGAAACAACTGGCAGATATTTCGTATTTTTAATCTGATAAGGTACAGCTATATGTTGAATTTATGTATGAAACGTGACGGAATGGTATTTCAAACGCCTTCAAATTTTCGTGCACGGATTTCCCTCATTGCTCTCGGGTTGAAATACTCGTATCACTCTCATTTAATTGATCCGCGGCGATCGTACGTCATAACCATTTAAAAAATTAATTTAAACGCATAAGGGTAAGGAAATTTATCTCAGAAATGTGTCAGGAATATATCAGTTAAACAAAACAGTGCTTTGATTGTCATTAAAACCTGGTGAACACAAGTTGAAAACATTTCTCAGACCTCTCTAAAAAATTTCCTAGTTCAAACTGAACCCACCAGAGAGCGTTGACGTTTCATTTTCCAATTTTACCAAATTTTGGTTTATTTTTTCGTCTCAATGTTTACTTTCTGGCTATTTAATTATGCAGAGTTAAAAACAGTTTTAAATTCTTGGTATGCATTTCATTTATCTCCACAAGAGCTTATAAGTTATGGATTATCTATAAATATTGAAACCGTACATCATGCTTTGCGTATACTTTTCTAAAGTGAGGACGTCCTAATCCCTCTGATAGTTTAATACTGATGGAGTGAACCCATAGTTCCATTCTCTCCTTAGGCATAGTCTGTAATGAGGCTGCCCAGGCACTTGATTTGATAGCTATAATGCCTCCACGACATTTGCTAAAACAGATGTCTGAAAATTTTTTTATGGTTAAGAAGTAGTAACATGCGGATGTATTCAACACAGAGTGGGCTCGTGTTTAACACTACATGGACTGTAGTGATTATACCAAAAATGTGTCATAAACATTTAGAAAATCAGAGGAAAATCTTAGTTTAAAGGCTCATTGTTTTACAAATGTGACCAAAATGCACTGTCAACGGAGACCTTTGCCCAGTGTTTCATTGAAATATGTAAAAAATGAATTCGAAACATTTCGGTGACGCCATCTGCAAATGTTTCACAGACACATAAAATGTGGTGACATGGGAATGTGTTGAACACAGAGTGGCTTCGTGTTTGACACTTCATTCGGGTTTTTAAAGTGTCACGTGAAACATTTCAGAAATGAGGCTTGGTGTCATTGACACGTTTTAAAAACATCCCTAAAACTAGGTGTGCTATTAGGGATACCTCCTGGTACCAAAAATCAGCAAGATCGATCAAACAGGAGCCGAGATAGCATTTTAGATAACATCCGCCATCCTGGATTTTTGAATTTTTAAAATTTGATCAGAAATTCGAGTTTTCCATCCAAAAATACTACTTGGTACCAAGACCCACCGCGATAGATGGAGCACAAGCCGGGATAGCATTTTAGGCCACATCCGCCATCTTGGATTTTTGAATTTTCAAAATTTGACCAGAAATTCGAGTTTCCCGTCCAAAAATATTTGCGGGTAATAAAAATCAGCAAGATCGGTAGAACAGGAGCCCAGAATGCCGAGATAGCATTTTGCCGTCCTGCCTATAGTTCCGAATTGCAAAATGGGAAATCCGAGTTTCGCATAACGCAATAGGGAACCATAGTATAGGTCCCAATTGCAAAATGAACCTCGCGTGATCCTGCGACGGCAAATTTTTGCGAGGTCGCTGAAGCAGGATAAAAATTGTTTTTGAGGATTTTCTTTTTCTCAATAGTAAGTAAATACCCTCCTGATACGGAATTCATCATAAAAAAAAAATCGAAAATTTGACCCTAGTTCCTTATTGCATAAAGCTGTCCATAAATAGGATGGTTATTTTTCATTCATGTTTTTCATTGGTTATTTTCATTATTTTTCAATTGGTTATTTTTCATGATACTGATTGTTTTTAGACTTACTATTTTTGATAACATTTGGGAACACAGTTTTAGATTCCAGACTTTAAACATCTCGGATTCAAATATGTAATATTCCATACAAATATGCGCTGTCTGATGCGAATATCTACTGTCCAATATCAATTCAACCATCGAATGTCAAAATCCATACCTCCTATACACATTCCAGCGCTTAAGTAGGTACACGTTCCCCACCGATCCACGCTGCTGCGCCAAAAATCTACAGTTTAATCACAAATCCGACACCACCAAATCACAATTCACATTTTCATCGAAAAATCCACTACGTTGCATCTAAATTCACATTGCTTTGCACGATTCCGACCATGCGAAATTTAATTGACTTTTTCCCTGCACAATCCTACAACATTGCCCCCACACCGCACACCCTGAAGAACAATATACCTGTTTTTTCACTTCCTCACTGTGAGGAACTATCCCAAAATTGCCTTTTGTATGTACTATTACTTATCTGCACCACTCATTCCTCATACCATCAATAAAATTTGTCCAGTTTTTCACAGACTCTGACTCACCGCCTGTGCCAGAATTCCCATTTTTCCTCCACCTTTGATATCACCACCGCTATCCGAGATCTCCGGCATCTGATACTCGCAGGCGTTATCTGATACACATCATTCCGTTCTGATACACGATGTCCGATACTACTGACCCTGCATTTGCCCCCTCCCCTCTTCTGAATGTTATCACCATAGTTGATGGCGCATTTTTTGCTCGATTCGTCAACATTACAATTAAACTCACAATTTGTGTTTGTATTGTAAAGTAATTCAGCTTTTCAATCCACTGCTGTCTGCTCCTCTTTCTCCTTTTAACCAAGGTAGATTTACATAGGTATGGACAGAACTAAACAACTGGCCTCTGATTGCCTCTCCAGAGGCCCCTTAACTTCCGCCATTTTGTATGTTTTGATTATTTTGATTTATTATGTTCGGTTTATCGTTTGTCAAAATTTTGTGGGATTTTTTGCACAATTTTGATAATGCAATATTAATTTTAACGTTTAAACGCACAAACGTTTGAATGTTAATTTGATTGTAATTTAATTAAAAAACGGGCCCCTTAACCTATGTCACGTAGTCATGTGACACGCACTGAGGCTCATGGGAAATTTTCAACTTGTGTAAATCTACCTTACCTTTTAACTCCTTTTTTCCTGCACGATTTTACAACATTAGCAACATTCACACAAAAATTTAATGCACATTTTGGTGTTCGATGTGGCATCATATTTGCACTAGAATTCCCATTTGCACCCTAATTTCACGGATTATTGAGAGGAATAGCATTGACACGCGACGTCCCTTGAAAGTTTGAAGTAGAAATGGTAGAATGAAATTCACCCATCTAGATTAGTATGTATGATGATGAGATGATGCATATTAATATTTTGAAGTGTAGTATGGTCCCCTTTAAATTTAAAAAATTTATCAATTCGGCGCCCTCCAGGCCGGCAGCCAATCCCGTGGGAGCACTCTCGAACCCAGAAAGTGACGCCATAGGTGCTGCTTTCTGGTTGGTCGAGAGTGCTCTCAGTTCGTCTCTACCTCGTTTTTACCTGGATGTGCGTGTAAGTTTTGCTCTCGATTTTTTCCCTTTTTGGGGGTAATCCGCAAGGATTACCCACCATCTTTCATCGGTTCGGGTCGATAATGTCTCTTTAGTTAAATTTTGGTCACGCCAAACCAAAGTTTTGTGTTCCTTGTTCATTTTCATCCTTTTATTTTTTTTCATTTGTGGCATGTGGCCTGAGTCTCGAGCCCGGCGCTCAACAGTCTTATTCTGTTACCCCACATCGCTTCAGATTGGCGCCCAACGATCTGTAGTATGGTCCCCTTTAAATTTAAAAAATTTATCAATTCGGCGCCCTCCAGGCCGGCAGCCAATCCCGTGGGAGCACTCTCGAACCCAGAAAGTGACGCCATAGGTGCTGCTTTCTGGTTGGTCGAGAGTGCTCTCAGTTCGTCTCTACCTCGTTTTTACCTGGATGTGCGTGTAAGTTTTGCTCTCGATTTTTTCCCTTTTTGGGGGTAATCCGCAAGGATTACCCCCCATCTTTCATCGGTTCGGGTCGATAATGTCTCTTTAGTTAAATTTTGGTCACGCCAAACCAAAGTTTTGTGTTCCTTGTTCATTTTCATCCTTTTATTTTTTTTCATTTGTGGCATGTGGCCTGAGTCTCGAGCCACATGCCACAAATGAAAAAAAAAGATGAAAATGAACAAGGAACACAAAACTTTGGTTTGGCGTGACCAAAATTAAACTAAAAAGAGACATTACCGACCGGAACCGATGAAAGATGGGGGGTAATCCGTCTCGAGCCCGCGCTCAGCAGTCTTATTCTGTTACCCCACATCGCTTCAGAAGTTGTATCAGGTTACATAGGAGTTATTAATTATGATGTTTCCCACCTGCAGGGCGACAACGAATCGAAAACTCAAAGAAACGGTCGCGCTCGAGTTAAGCTTCGTAAATTCAAATTTACAACTCTTGAAGGAACAGTTAGCAGAACTGAATAGCTCTGTAGAAATATACCAAGGGGAAAGGTAAGTAACAGATTCTCACTTAAATATAATACTACACATGAAAAATGTCTGCATTATTATAACCGCTCATAGCGCTTCCAGGGGTCTTTGTGGGTTCCTTTGCAAGTCTGACTGAGGAGCACTCAATCCGTGCTGTGACTGCGTTGTGTCAATGTCGCGACGTTGTTCAGCTAGATGCTCATTATTGCGGCGGCACACACGGTGGTCTTTGGCCAAAATACCTGGCCAAAATCCTAATTTTAAAAATGCCGCCCCCCCCCCCCAGGACAACCACGGTCACATCAGAATCTTGATCTGCATGATGTTTTCCAGTAGCTTAATTCCCAGCAAAGAGAATAGTGAGTGACTTACCTATCTTCCTGATATTATTGTGATCTGTTTTGGAGAGTCACTCAGTTATCTGCTTCAATTTTATCGTGTGACCATGTGGGGGAAGCTCGGCGGTATGGAACAGATTTGTAGTGGCATATTGACAATTTCGGTGCTACGTCACAGAAAAGCGATGTATCCAGATTAATCTCATTGGTAGCATTGAAAGGCTAAGTCATTGTTATTTTTTGGATCTAATTTGATCTAGTGGAGTATCCCTATCTATATCTACACTATAAGCTCCGAGACCTCCTAATTTTGCATAACTGGTAATTCCAGCGTTCTACCGAGCCGATTTTCATGATTTTTGCGGCTATCGACGGACAATTGTCTCCAGATAAGCCAACTCTTCTCAGATTTTCAAAATATGGCCCAGGGTTTTTTTATATTACGCGGTAAAGTTGCGGATTCTCCCATTTAAACAATGTAAATTTATATTTTTTGTCATAGTTCGTTTGAGCGTTCTACCGGGCCGATTTCCTTGATTTTTGCGGTCATCGACAGGTAATTGGCCCTAGATGAGCCCGCTTTATTCAGATATTGGAAATAGGACCCAGGTCTCTTTACAACCACATTATAAAACTGAGAGAATTCACAGATTGCTCCGGAACTGCTGTCGCTATGCGTAGGAGGATGCGCAGTGGCCGAGGAGGTTGCGCAGTGGCTGAGTAGCGTGCGCATCAGCTCTACTTATGAACACAAGATTTGCCCCCGTATTTCAAGACTAGCAGTGGCCGAGTTGTCTAAAACGTCGGAAACGCTCACATTTTTCAAAATGTGGATTCGATTCCTGACTCCTCAGCTACTTTTAAATATGACCTTCATATCATTATTCGTTGTTTTATACTGCAATGTTTCATTAATCAGCCATAGCAAAACGCGTCCTTTTGACTTCAAAATTTTTTTTCTTTATTCACAAAAAACAAAAATGAGTTCAATCTAAAAGTAAAGTGTATCTCATATCGTAACTTTTTAGGGGAAAAATGAAACCAACATTGAAAGGAGGGTAAAAATAGGGTCGCGAAGCGGCCTATTGATGGCGCGGGGCGCCTTCAGGGGGTTGGGCCGCGTAGCGGCCAGGGGGCAAAGCCCCCTAATACACCTATAGTGATGTCAACAGTAATGGGGGTTCTTTAATTCCCTTCCGCGATTCCCTTTCAGGACCGATTCTCTCCCGGCTTTGAATTAAATTGATAAGTGGCAACATCGCAACAATGAACCAAGCAACAAGACGAAAGACGACAAAGCTCATCCCGATTTTCCTTGGCTTGCAGAAGATAATTTTCCGGGATAGTAGAATTTTCGTAAATTCAGCCAATCTGTCATTGGCGAAACGCAGATCAAAACAGTCAAAATAATAGCTGCTCCTGGAGAAAGTGTATCGGAACTTCCCGACAACTACAACTATGAAGTCTTGTCTCACTTCATTCTCACGGCTTCTCACAAAAATGCGCCACGTTTCTTCTTCTAATAGGAGTTTCCCCTTTTTTTGACGCGTCGCACTCTTTACTTCTATTTTAGTATCTGTAAACTTCTAATCCTTTCTCGAGAAATTGTGTGGTGTTTCGCGTATCTGAAAATGATAAGTTTATTTTGAATCTTGATTCTTTTGTCTTGCTGCTTAATTAATTGTTGCGACAGTGCCGTACATGATCAAGTTAAGGTGGGAATCGGAAAGCGGTCCTGGGAGGGAATCGGGGCAGGAAATCGGGGCAGGAAATCGGGGGGCGCGTATAACTGAACCGCGCGTTTAATTGTACGGCACTAATAGCATCTGTACTACATAACTTACGATAGTATACCATAAGTTGCCTTTTACGGTGACTCTAAGAGGAAGATGAAAAATGATGATAAACAAAAAAAATAAATAAAAAAACCCCTCTTCCTCCTATTCAGAGTAATTTTTTTCCACTCAGTTTTCTTCAAGTGACCGAACAGGAGATGTTTTAGTCCGAAATTGCTACTTGCAATGCTGCCGTAATAGCGATGAGAGCAGTAAGTGTCAAACTTTCAAAATCGAGCTTCCTTCAAAATTCGTCGAAAGTCTCATAGATGAAATCACTGAAATAACTAAAACAGCAAAGTACATCTTATTTTTATGAAAACGAGACATATGTGAGAGCCGTAAATGCACAAAAAATTACTTAGTTTCAGACAACACAGCAGCAAGTGACATTATTCCTCCAGAGAGTCAATGAAATCAGTGCTTTCAAGTCAAGTGCCGTCCTTTTCTGCCGATTTCTAACCTGAAAAAGTGTTTCTTGTGTGTCTAAAACACAATCACGAAAGCATGCAGAAGATAGCATTTACGGCTGTCTTGCCTAACATGAAAATAAAATCAGTCGATCTTTAATCATCCTAACGACCTCTTAGAGTCTCTAGGACGATTAGTGGCAATTTAACAAAGAACGGCGGCTTCTTCTAATAAACTTTTTGTTATAAACTTTAAACGTTATGATAGTTCCCCGAACTATCAACAAATGACCCGAAATTATATTAGATATCAGTCGAATTGACCACCTTTTGAACAGGGCTGAGGACTTGGTAAAAAAGTGATTTGAGACCAGATATGCTGGATCGGTGAACGGCGTCTCCTTGTTGGTACATGGAAACCCCACTGTAGCTCCTTCTTACCAGTTTGGGTACTTTTTCGGTCGTCATTTTTCAAGCCGTACATTTGATATATTTTTGTGTTTCAGCTCAAAGTCATCTTCTGCTGTGTCAACCAAAAATGCCGTGCTCAAAATTCCGTGCACTTGATTAAATTTTGCGTGCATGTAGATTATTTTTGTATAAAAAAATCGCGTGCAATCTCCTTTTTTTTGCCGAGCTTCCCAGAGGCAAAGAGGTAGTCTATAGCTATGACGAGTAAAATTACGAGGAGCGAAGTACTCAGGTCCCTACATTGTTGGGGTTTCCTTTTCCGATTTTGTCAAAATTTGACTGCATCTAAGCGCTAGTCTAGATCAATATGTAAATATGATAAGAAAAATAGTTCCAGCTTGAAGCGTCTTCATGTGACCTTTCATATTGTGAATCAGGTGCCCAAATACTTATAGATGAAGCGGGGCAATGCAAATGAAACCTTGAACTCGACATTGCCACTTGTAACCATGAGATCATACTCATTAACACCCCGCGCGTCACATTCCGTATGCCTGTCACATCTTCATCAGTGCTTCAATCGCGGAGATATCTTACAGGCGTCTTCTTTAGTGTATATACTATCGATCTGTATTCTAAAATCGGACTTTTCTGACCTTCATTTTTAGGTAGATTTCGAAGAAATATCTACCTATTGCAGACGGTACGACCTCGTAATTTTCGGGAATTTTTGCTCTCAAAGAGCATCGATCCCGAAACCCTGAGTTGAAAAATGTAGGTCATGAAAAATAGGTATCATAAAATATAGTGTGTGTGTGTGAGGGTGTATATATCCTATATATTAAAATGCAAAGTTCCGAATCTTGGGGCATTAACTTTGAGAGAACCACCGGACCGATTTGCGTGATCTTTTTTTTAAATGAAAGCCCCTGAGCTGTAGATTTGCAGGCTGTGATCGTTTTTTCGATTTTCTCAAATTTTCTCCCATAATTTTCTCAAATTTTCTTCGATGCATTAAAACGGAGGTCCGAATCTTTGGACGTTAACTTTGAGAGAACCACCAGACCGATTTGCATGATTTTTGTTTTAAATGAAAGCCTGTGATCTGTAGATTTGCAGGCTGTGATCGTTTTTTCGATTTTCTCAAATTGTCTTACTTTTATCGACGAGTGAAGTTTAGCTGGGCTCAAATTTTCTCCTATTTATTCAGACTAAAGTCTGCATCTTGGGACATTAACTTTGAGAGAACCACCGGACTGATTTGCATGGGGTTTTTTTTAAATGGCAGCTTCTGATCTGTAGATTTGCAGGCTGTAATTGTTTTTTCGATTTTCTCAAATTTTCTTACTTTTATCGACGAGTAAAGTTCAGCTGTTTCGAGCGGTCATCTGGCCGCTACCTGCTTGCCCGTCCCTAGATACCCCCTCTAGGGTCTCAGCCACGCCTCCCACCACGTTCTTTCGGCTATCTCCGTTTTCTTTCGTATAGCTTTCCTCCCACCAACCTCAAAGAAGGTTTGGGTCGCATTGTCCTTCGTCACTCACCACCCACATTCTGTCGCAATATCTCGGCTACTCCGCTTCATCACTTCTTGATAGGCATCCTGGCGGTTTGACTGACCCTGACTTATTAACTGCAGCGGTGCGCACACGTATTGCTAACAACATGTATTGTTATGGACATTTCATTCTTATTTGTTCTTTTCTCTTTCCAACTTTGTTTCAAATTTGCTTGATACTTTGTTTCTTCCTCTCTCTTTATTTTGTTGGTCGGTCGACTACGTTGATCGGCTTTTTGCTATTGAAAGCACATTAAGACTTCATGGATTTTCAATATCATCATTTGATCTTCCGGAATTGCTTCCAATTAACCTGAATCTTCAAGGGTCGGAGCCTGACTCTCCTCCCCCTAAAACTATGATTCCATGATTTCTGCCGCTAACCCAGAGCAACATCAAATTATTTCTGAAATAATTAGTCTCATCCAAAATCCATCTTACACGTGTAATGCGATAATCATTGATGGTCCAGGAGGATCGGGAAAAACTTTCGTTTAAGAATGTCTCACTGCGTATTGTACAAAGGAAAACTTAGACGTCATCTCCGTTGCTTGGACAGGTATCGCCGCATCGTTGCTACCTAACGGTCGGCCGGTTCATAGCAAATTCAAAATTCCTTCGGTTCTGAATGAGAATTCTGTGTCGAGTCTGACGGTTAGCTCAAGAGAGGCTGAGACTATTCGGAAAACAACGATCATTTTTTGGGGTGAAGCTCCCATGGTTATCACGCATGCTCTGGCATGCATCGACTGACTTCTTAGAGAATGGGTAATGATATCCCTTTTCGAGGAAAAATTGTCGTCTAGGGTGGTGATTTTAGACAGGTTTTACCCGTTGTTCCGCATGCTTCTCGCCAAACATTGGTGCAAAATGCAATCAAATTCTCACCACTTTGACCTCTTTTCAAAATCAGAAAACTTACTCAAAATATGAGAACTTTGCAAGACGAAGCGGAGTTTGCAAAATTTTAACTCGAAATAGGTGATGGTGTTTACCTTTCTGCTAAAAAAGGCCATGCCGGAATTCATCGATTTACCGACAAGCAGTATTACTGAAACTGATATTATTACTGAAATTTATGAAAAAGATAGCTTCCTCATGTTCGAACGTAGATTTCACAATAACTGCGCAATTCTGGCCCCTAAAAATAAGCATTGCAATGAAATTAACGACAAGGTTGTTGAAGTTCTTTCAGGTGTCTCTAAAACGTACTTCAGTGTTAACAGGCTCATTGTAGAGGAAGAGGGAGAGGCTCTCAATTTTCCCCTCGAATTCTTGGACAGTCTTAATCTTAGTGGCTTACCACCGCTTAAACTCACACTTTTGGAGGGGGTTTTTGTCATGCTTTTAAGAAACCTCAACGTTTCTAAAGGTTTATCGAATGGCACCCGATTGATCGTCTGGAAACGTTATGAAAATTGTCTTGATTTGCAGGTTATTTCCGGCGAGAAGGCCGGTGAAAGAATTTCACTGCCAAGAATTGATTTGTCACCTGCAGACACCTCTCTCCCTTTCTCTTTTAAGAGGCAACAATTTCCAATTCGCATTGCGTTCTGCATGACCATCATCAAAGCTAAGGGTCAAACACTGAAGAGAGTCGGCATTTATTTACCCCAAACAGTTTTTGGCCATGGTCAACTATATGTTGCACTCTCACGAGCTACATCGTACAAAAATTTTGAAGTCCAAATTCTTCCCAAAGGCAACCGTACAAAAAACATCGTGCACAAAGAGGTGCTTCGATCTTTTATAAATCCCAAAAGCCTCATAGTCATTAGAAAATTATCAAAAAATAAAAATAAAACAAAATTAAAAAATAACACAAAAAAAAAAAGAAAAACTAATAATGCGAGCTTTTTATAACATTTTTCGGTAGAATGGCAGTCTCCACCCTGTAACGCAGAGAGGCAGTTAAATTCCTCGATCTCCTGCCGCAGAATCATCATCATTATTAAATAGATTCAACTAATCGCTCCGATTCCAAATAAGCTACTGCACCACCATTGCTAGCTGTGGAGGGCGCCCGTAGGGCGCCCGGAGCAGCTAGTATATATATATAACGAAACTTTGCGACCGTTTTTTTTTTCGGAACTATCAATCCGATCAAAGCGGAACTAAGCATGGTTCTTCACTATTATGAGGTCTTCATCAAGTTTCCTTTTTCGTGAAAATCGGCCCACCCCTTAGCCGGAAAATCTCAAATCCAAAAGGGGATGATTTTTCAAACTCGTCCGATCTTAGTCGGTGATGCGTCAAAAAACTCGTCTCGTCGTGGCCTTTAAAGCAACCTATATTCACCTACCCTCTAAAACCACCCCTTATCCAGAAAATCTCAAGTTCAAGCAGGTTAAGTTCAAGCAGGGGGACGATTTTCCGACCTGTCAGGCTCATTAGGCGCAATTTTTTTTATAGAAAAAATCAGTCGAAATCTACCTTTCGTTTCCACTGTGGCTGGAAAGAGTATTGCCACCTAAATCGAGTCATGGAACCAATGTGCGGCGTCTCTACTGTCGTCGCTCGTCGCGATGTGCCTTGGCCAAGTAATATCGCAGCATACATGTGGCAAGCGGCAAGCGAGCGTTCCTAACGGCTTTCGCTTCTCGATGATTCTGTGTTCTCTTTCGTTTATCGGTTAGGTATTCCTTGCGTTGCCTAACTGCCATCGAGTTGACTCGAATTCAGTATGGGGTATGACTTGAAACGAATGAAATATGTGAAAAATGCGAGTTTAAAGTGAACTGTTTCACGAAACAGAGCTCGTGCATGCGTCAAGGATTTTCGATTGAGGAGGCGGCTGCAACAACAGCTCATTTGCGTTTAGGTTGTTTTTGCTCCCCATATCGCAAACAAATACTTCGCCCAAGGAGTGCTACCCATCCGAATATGGAGATGATCTGATAATTCTACGGCTCACAAAATCAATTATTGTGGTAAGAAAACCAGGAAATGCACGCACCCGGCTTAATATCAGTGAAGCCCGGCCGCATTGCGTGCACCCGCGCGCGGGTAGGTGCATTAATCCTGATGACGACTATGTATATTACCGCGACGATGAAGGGAAATTGGATTGCATTTTGCAAAAAGGAACCACTAGCATTGCAATGATGCTAAGATTGTGCAACTTCATCCTTTGCAATAAAATGGCGGAAATTGTGAAATACTATGAAATCTAGATGGTAATTTTTGTCTTAAATTTACAGTTTTTAGCGAGGAAAGTAGAAACTATTAAGGGATAATCGGGTTTTTCCTCCAAGACAAAAGATGTTGCACAAGCTTAGCAACATTGCAATGCTAGTGGTTCCTTTTTGCAAAATGCAATCAAATTAAACGAGTATTAGATCTAAAAAAGACCGGGATTTCCATGTAACAATACCATGGACCTTTTGCAGATCATCATCTATATTTGAGCCACAGTGGCGTGGCGTGAATTGCGATGTATCGATTGTTATGCCATTTAAACCTATGAAAAAGGATCGATAAACAGGGTGTTCGCAGCGAACACCGTAATAATCGATTCTTTACCATAGACTTAAATGGCATATGAATCGATACATCGCAATTCACGCCACGCCACTGTTGAGCCATCTAAAACGTACACCAGCAAACAAGTCAAATACGCCGTTTATATCTCAGAGATTTTAAATGCCACATAAATAGCTCTTGACCATTTATGGTAATAAAATATCTATTTAAAATTCGCCGGATCCCAACAGTAGGATGTAAAAATAGCCCATAACACTTTTTTTTTTCTTGTTTTTCCTTGGGGCGTAGAATCTGAATTTCTGGTTTCCCAAGAAAATCTCGTGCCGCCACTGCCCCAAAAATGTGTTTGTTTTTACGTAAATTGCTAATAATGGACCACTAGACAAGGCACGAATTTCAGCATTCTGATGCATGTTTCATAACCAAAATTTCACGTAAAATACGATACGCACAACGAAAATTACGGAAATCATCTCCTTACGAAGATATTTAATGATTCCTGATGCGTGAATTCAAACCACCCGCTCATGAAAACTCAATGCTCTACGTGATTCACATCGCGCGCTAAACGTTATCATGACAGTCTCTGCGATATAAAAATCTGGCAACCTCAATCTTGACGCTTTGGCTCAGCTATAGCAAATTGCTTATCGTTTGAAAAACACATGGCGGGAAATGAACATTGCTCGGTTGAGAAGCTTGCTGAAACCGTTGTAGTGCGCGATTTGACTCACGTAGAGCTTTGAGTTTCTTGTGAGCGGGCAGTTCAAATTCCTCGTAACCAATGTGAAAAAAACGTTAATATCTTCGTTAGGAGTTGGTTTCAGTAATTTTCGTTGTGTGAATCGTGTTCTACGTGAAATTCTTGTTAAGAGACATGTATTAGATTGTTTAAATTCGCACCTTGTCTAGTAGTCCATTAATAGTACGTTAATAATTGTACAGCCTTACGTAATTATTCAGGGGGAGAGGGGGTCTAAAAATCGGAAAAAGTACCTTACGTAATTTGTGGACGGCTCCCAATTGCTTCCCAGGAGATTTTAGAGTGATAGCCTATTATCCGCGGGAATCCCAAAATGAGAAGGGTGGGCTGGGCAGAAATGTCTAAATATCTTAACTTGCCCCGCAAATGTCCGTTTTTTTGCTATTTCTCGCTATTAATGGAGTTGAGGTTCGTATCATCATATTTCTGTTAGTTCCTAGAATAACCAAGCACACATTTGTCATGTAAGGGGCGTCTTCCATGCCCCTCAAAGGGGAGGGAAGGCCCCCCCCTCCCCAGGACATCTACCCAACCCAAGTCGTTATGATAGGTCGCCTCCTCAATTCAAAATGATCCATCATCATCCTAAAATTTTGTATTTTTCCAACACTATTTCGTGTAGCAGCAAATGCCAGCAAAAACCGTCAATACCACGTAAGTGGCACTGAGTGTCAAGTAGACCTATACAACATCAAAAAGATCTACTCAAGTGAAAGATTTTGGTAAGCAAGTCAAAGATTTAAGTATCGTATAAATAATAAAACTTAATGCGACGACTTTTTCTTTTGTACACCGTGTGTCAAGTGCCAAATATAGCTCCCCTCATCATTCACCGCCTGACCTCAGTTCATTTTAATTTTATCCTTCATTTGAGCGTCTTGAACCAAAGTTTTAGATCTCTAATTTCCGCCTTCTTTTTTCCTTCTTTTTTTGTTGCTAATGAGACATAGTTTCTTTTTCCCTCTAGCCCGGAGCCAATGATGCCGATGGTACCACTTGGACTAAAGGAAACAAAAGAAATTGACTTTCGAGAACCCTTCAAAGTAAGTTATTCAATCCTCTTCATGTCCATAAAGTTTTCATATTTGGAATAGCTGATGTTGATACAACTGTATAATGGATTATATGCTTATATTTCTTTTTTAGGCATTATAGACAATGAAAAAGTCAATAGCCACAGTAAGATAAAGGTCTTTTCAAGACAAATGTTAATCGGCTATTTTGTTTGCCTGCCAAATTTCCGTGCTTTATTTTAAAATTGAAAGTCTAAACAGCAACTGTACAGTGAAAATATAAGTACAGGAGAACAAAAACAAGGAAACAGCAGAAACTAGGCTAAAATACATATAATTGTCCGGGACATTTTAGTGTCTCACAACACCATTATCAACCGCTAAAAAAAAAGTACAAAAAGTAAACAAAATAAATTGTAATCTAAGGAAATCAGCACGCGGTGTTACATAGTGATGGTATGAAAGACTGCAATGATAACAGGAGTAAACATTAAGATCCGTAAATGCAACAAACCTTGAAAAATGCGAGAAACCAAGCATCGATGAGCATGGCAAGTAATTACTATTGGCATCCGCCAGGTGGCAGTAGTTCACGGCCCGCGAAACAGGTTGAAGTAGACTGAACTTAGGTGATTCACAATGGAGCGGGAATTGCAAACAGAACCTTGATTTCTCAGGATTTCTACCATTTCCCTAATTAACCACAGATAATATTTCTTCTCATAGTACAAAATCTTTACGTTTTTGAAGTCAAACTTACATTGCAACTGATTCTCATGGTTGTGTAAATGCGTCACATCCTTCCTATTGTACTTGTGTCTGTTGAAACGTTTAGCCAAAGGTTGTATAGTTTGGCCGATGTAAGAAATATCACAATTAGCACACGGAATCTGATATACCACACCCCCAAATTGCAGCCTAGGTGTGTCCGACTTGAGTTTTGACATCAGAAACTCAAGAGTATTATACCTGCAATGGCCAACTTTATAACTAAAATACTTCAAAAAACCAGCCAGATTTTCGGACAGGAAAGGCACATAAGGTAGGGGCACAACCTTACCGACCTTAAAAGTGTCATCAAGAGATGGCGCGTTTAGATTGTCATCACTACAATTAACATGACAAGTGTCATTACAAGCGGTGTATTGTTGACATTTTTAAGGCTATTTTTATAAATTTTTTTAATATTCTTTTTAGCTATTACGATAGGGATATAATCGCAGGCTTCAAGGGCCTTCCTGATTTTATGTGGTTTTTCCCGAGTTTTACTCCTTCGTTCCTCCTACCCCCAAACCACCATTTATTTATTCATTTATTGTTTGGTATATCAGTGGCCTAAAGCCAACATCAGGTCAGGTACCTAACTCACATTTTTTGAAAAATTGAGTTAGAGGCGTTTTCGAAATCTCCATTACCGGTACCGGGTGTGCTGAAAATTTGATAGCCCTATCTTACGCCGGTAATGAGCTACGGAGTTTCAAAAATTGCTATTTACATTGGAATCAATGGGACCGACGCTCAGTTCTCTCCTGTTATCTCGAAAAGACTGAAATGGAGCATGGTCGATAGACCTAGGTCAGTCCGTTAGCAAGATATTCTTCCGAATTTCCCGATCTGGCGACGGATTCCCGCTATTTGCTGTTTCGCTGCTCACCAAACGTTTCCCTGCTTTGCGCTGCCTCGGTGCATAGCCCCTCCCCGATCTGCATAAGACCAATGTAACTGGATCGGGGGAACAGCATATGTAATGGGATAAGCAAATCGGGGGAATCTGTTGACAAAGGAGACAGCCCTCACCCCCGATTTGTAGAGATTATCACACTCAACTTTCTTAATGGACTGACCTACGTCTATCGACCTTGAAAATGGAGTTAGGTACTTTTTGGCTCTGGTGTTTAGGAGTAAGTTACTTACGTAATATTTCAGATTTAACCTTTTACCATAGATTTTCTTACTACACTTTGTAAATTTGCTTTATTTTTTGTTACCACTTTTTAGTCGTGCGGCGAAGCCGTATAGACTCTAGGTTTCGCCGGAGGCTAAAAAATGTTCACACTTTTAGGCTAAGTCCAAGAGGAGAATTTTCGAGGAACCAAGTAACATATGAAGTATTGATATCGGTGCATTTTGGCCCAATGGAGATGTTGCATGTGCGAGGAATTCGCAATTTGACTGTTGATTCTTGTATAAAAGTTCGCGAGGAACACGATGGTGCCACTGGTTTTCTCTGAAATCATCTCCCAAGCTCAAAAAAAGCTCTCAAGTTGAGGCCAAAATGGAGGGGATATCCCACCCTACCCTGAGAGTCCACGTCTACATGAAGACAAACTCTCCATGCAAAGATAGGGAGCAAATACATTAGCAGGGTTGCCGTGTTTTCAGTTTTGGAGTCCCCAGATAAATTGGCAGCCCTGTCAATGTATTAGCTCCCTATCTTTGCATGGAGAGTTGGTCTTGATCTAGACTTGGACTCTCAGGTTAGGGTGGGATATTCCCTCCATTTTGGCCTCAACTTGAGTGCTTTTTTTTGAGCTTGGGAGATGATTTCAGAGAAAACCAGTGGCACCATCGTGTTTCTCGCGACCTTTTACACAAGATTCAACAGTCAAATCGCAAATTCCTCACACATGCAACATCTCCATTATGCCAAATGGAATTTCTGATCATTTAGCCATGGTTTGGTAGCGTTTAGCAATCAACTGTGACCAAAATGTAAAGAACCCACACTGGTGCCTTTCGGCTCAATGTCGCCATATGGCATTCTTTATCATCAAGTCACCGTTGAACATTTACTGTTAAGTAGCGTTTAGCAACCAAGTATAGCCAAAATTTCCAGAACTCATACCTCAGATGTTCAAAGAGTGTTAACATGTGTCGGCCAAATGGAATTTCTGATCATTTAGCCATGGTTTGGTAGCGTTTAGCAATCAACTTTGACCATAATGTAAAGAACCCACACAGGTGCCTTTCGGCTCATTGTCGCCCTATGGCATTCTTTATCATCAAGTCACTGTTGAACATTTACTGTTAAGTAGCGTTTAGCAACCAAGTATAGCCAAAATTTCCAGAACTCATACCTCAGATGTTCAAAGAGTGTTAACATGTGTCGGCCAAATGGAATTTCTGATCATTTAGCCATGGTTTGGTAGCGTTTAGCAATCAACTGTGACCATAATGTAAAGAACCCACACAGGTGCCTTTCGGCTCAATGTCGCCCTATGGCATTCTTTATCATCGAGTCACAGTTTAATAGCGTAAATAAGCAACCAACGGCGGCCAAAATGTCAAGACTCCAAACTGGTGCTTTTTGGCTAAATTTCGCCCGATAGGATCTTTGATGATTTATCAGTAATGGTTGATGTTTATGTTGATTAATTATTACTGTCTGAAAGTGAATCCTGTGGGAGAATATTATAGGGCTGGTTCAAACAAGTTTTAGAATTTTTTTCCTTAGCGCTAATGGACCCTAAGCGACAACTTCAATTCATCGAACTAAAAGTTTTCAATGTTCATAACCATTTTTTAACCGTCAGAACTCACTAGACCACATTATATTCATGATGAATTTAAAGAATATCGCTGTCAAAAGTTGAGTTCTCCCTCGATTTAGCACTTTTTGTCGTTACCTTAAAGACCATACGGAAAGTGCTAAATCTACGGAAAACTCAACTTTTCACAGCGATGTTCTTCAAATTTATCATGAATATAATGTGGTCTAGTGAGTTCTGACATTTAAAAATGGGTATGAACATTTAAGGCTTTATTTTCCTTGAATTTAAGTGGTTTTTCAGGGTCTACGGTAAGAAAAAAAGTCTAAAACACGTTAAAAGTTACTTGAACCTACCCTAAAATGTTGAGCTATGACTTCAACTTTCATGAACCCTTACTTGTGCCTTTTAGCTTGATTTCGCTAAATGGAATTCTTTATAATGGAAGTCGTGGTTGAGTTTACTATGCTGATAAAATATCATTGGAAACTTTAGGTTTCACCATCATAGTCTTCTAAAAATAACCATCAGCATTACTGCACCAACCAAAATCTAGCCAAAAAAAAAAAATAATTCGGCTGAAAAAGTGGGAGAAGTTGGGATGTGCAGTCTCAAAATAAAAATACCTAGCTGTGATTGGACATAGCTTTGCTTTCATTGAGACTTTCAAATTTTATGAATAAAAAACAGTAAGCGTTTAGCAAAAACAGTTAGTTTTGTCCTTACCCATAGACCATACAAAAAGAGCTAAATTGAAGGAGAATTTAGCTTTTGACAGCGATGCTCTTCAAATTTTTCATATACCTATACAATGTGTTCTAGTAAGTTTGGATGGTAAAAAATGGTCAGGAACATTTAAAGCTTTATTTTCCATGAACGTAAGTTGTCGCTCAGGATAGATTCTGACGACTAGATCCTTACTAGAGTAAGGAAAGAAAGCCTAAAATTGTTAAAAGTCACAGAAAAACGCAAAAAAAGAAAAAAGTCGGAAAAGGAAGTCAATTTTACATAACAATTAAATTAACATAAAAATTTCATAAAAAGTATTGGAAATTACGAACAAATGTATTTACGTAAAATTTGTATTAAAAAGAAAGTTAATTTTAATTAAGAAAAATAATCTTGGTAAATCAATTGCTCACGTAAATTTGACTCAAAATTCATTTAAAAAACAGGGCCGGATTTACCTACTTGCTGCCTATGGGCCACCTGTATTTTGCCGCCCCCTTCTCATTCGTTTCGAAACATCAATAAAAAACAACTTAATCGGCCCGAAACAGTAACAGAGAAACAACTTAAAACGGGACTAAGGCCGCAAATAATAAAAAGAAACACATAAAATATAATAAGAAACCCGGGACGTTTCGCAGGGATCACACCCGCATTTTCAACCGGCAAAACAAGAAAAATTAAAAGAAAGGACACTATGCCCCTCACTACTAGCAAAAGTTCGCACGGAACTTTGCGCGAAAGTTAAGTTCTGTAAACCTATCTACATATGTGTGAACAAGGCCTTCCATTTGTAAGAAATGAAGGTAAAAATTATGCAAGAACAAACATAAATGTGGTTTAATAATTTTAACTTCCGCCGGCGCGCCGCGCTGACCGCACTGTGTTTGGCGCAATGCGTGAAGTATTCCTACAGTCTTGTAGGCGCTATGCGTTTCACGCCGACCGCCGCACAGTGGATTGAGTCAATTAGAGGGGTCGGATATGAAATTTTTGACAAAAACTGCAAATGTTGATGTTTATTTCGTCACATTTTAAAGTTCAAGGGGTGATACTGGAAGAAAATATCACGAGAAAACCAGTGGAACAGCTTGCAGAACATTAGGTTCTTGTATAAACGGAGTTATGAGCGTTTTAAGTTCCCAAATTTTTTCCGACCTCTCTCATTGACTCGATTCTCCGTGCGCCGCGCTGAGAGCTTCTCCTTTTTATCTCAAGTCCTCATCATCATTGCTGCACCGCTCCATGCCAAATTGCGTGTTTAGTTTCTCTCTTAACTCGACTAATTAAAGGTGCTGTCTCTTGTGTCACCGAAAGACGCTTTCTCGTTTGTAATTTTTGTTTTCTGAATCCGATTTTTTTTTAACCTACATTTTAAAAAAATGCAAAATTTGCCGCCCCCTACGTTAAGAAATGAGAGATGCCGTACTCCATTACCTAATGCATCTGACGAGTTTTTCAATTCAAAAAGGAACGTATGACACTCCACAAATAAATCACGTTTGAAGCGCAAACCGGAAAAAACACGATTTGTCAAAAGTATTCATTAAGTATTGCACTTTCCACAGAAGCATATTGCACAAAAATGTCACTGTAACGCCTTCCGGATATGGTTGCGACCAACTTAAGGTTCAAAATTTTGATTTGTTCGCTCCCTAAAAAAAAAATGGTCCATCTCTGTAACTGTGCTCACCAAAACTGACAAAGATCCCAGGGTCACATGCTGCCCGTGGTCCCGGAGAGAGAAGGACATTTTTCAGGGTTGAAATCCTTCCTCTTATTTAATTGTTTTTTAAATTCAGAGTAAGGGAGTTACGTGTGTCTATGGTTGGCTGCCACCTTTTTTCGTTTGGAGGCTTTCCAGTGTTGTCGAGTTTAGACTTTGTCCGGAGGTGGCTACCGCCACCCATGATAAACTTATGCTAGGACACTATCCCTGAATTATAAACAGCCCAATTTGGCTGCAATGCTTCGAGCCCTGCACGTGTGAACTTGAGTTGAGTCATTCGTTTTTATGACTTTTCCGAGGGTCGGTGGCCGCTAGCCTAGCGGGGCCGCGGTGAGGCCCGCTCGGCCGCGATTGCAGCCTTGGGCCCCGCTTTGAGACCCGCTCGAATGAGGCTCAATTTGGATTCGGGCTTCGGGTGCGATTATTCTATCGTCTGGCGACTGGCCGCTACGCGGCCCAACCCCTCGAAGACGCTCCGCGCCACCAGAATATCGATTTTTTAGACCAAAAACTCGTATCGATATTTCAACGTTAATATACCGTCCGTATCGATACATTTATCTCTAGAAATATCAAATCGATTTTTCTTTCTTTCTTCTGCTGAGTTGTGTATTTTACACCTCGGAAAATCGGAAATTATGGTCAATTTTTCATACTTCAAATTTCGGATTTCGCTGGCCAGGTTGTACAGACCTACACAACCTCCTCACCTACACAGACCTGGTACAGACCTGTCACAGGGTAAACAAACCTCAAGATGCAAATACCTCCTTTTTTTTCTCTATGTAGGTATAGGACTTTTCGCGTGGCTGCTCGACGGTTTGTTAATCTGTGGAGGTTAAGCTACATTCACGCGTCGCAAGCAACCTGGCGCGTCTGCTTCTTGCTACTGCGAGCGCGCCTTCATTCCCTCCCGCACGCAACAAGGACAACCGCGATGATAAAGAATTCCATTCGGCGAAATCGAGCCGAGAGCAGGCACCACGAGTATATACATTATGGGTTATTTTAGTGATGGGTGGGATTTTATTTAAAATTTCTAGGAATCCTAGGTATAGTATTTACTGTAGTAAACAATTATCATTTATTCCATCACTTCTTCGGATTATTTATTTTTAATCAATCTATATTCATGTGAAGTGTAGCTCATCTGCATTTTTCTTTCCCTGGAACCTAAATGTATATAGGGTGTTCGAAAAGTCCCCTCCCCCCCCCTCTCACTTTTGACCTAATTGAGGTAGAGATTTGAAACTTGGAGGGTGTTCCTAGATCAAAGAGAGCTACTTTTTGACCCCCCCCCAAATTTTGGGGGGACCCTCCCTTTGGGGGGTTACGGACCCTAACTTTTTTTTTCAAATGGGAAGACCCCCTTTGTGATACCTCGTTCGAAAGAGCATAAAAAAAGAAAAATTTTCGCGCAAACCCGAAGTCAATATCTCAAACCGTTTCAAAATGGCGGCCAGTCAAAGTTCAAAATGGCCGAAAATTGGCACCTCTGCTATTTGCACATGGATTTGCTTGAAACTCGGTATCTGGGGGTATTTTGGCACGAAAAAAACGAATTTGACGTTAGATTTTTAAAAAAAAACCCTAATTTTTCAAAATGGCCGCCGGTTTAGGCTCAAAGTGGCCGAAAATTTGACAAACTCGATTCTTTGCCAATGGATTCACCTGAAATTCGGTATCTGGGGGTATTTGGACCCGAAAAAAACGAATTCGACGTTAGATTTCTAAAAAAACCCTAATTTTTCAAAATGGCCGCCGATTAAAGTTGAAAATGGTCAACAATTGGCAACCTTGACTTTTTGCCGATGGATTTGCCTTAAACTCAGCTCATCGTTTTCCTCCTACCCAGAAACACCCAAACGCCGAGTTTCAGGCGAATCCATCGGCAAAAAGTCGAGGTTGCCAATTGTTGACCATTTTGAATTTTAATCGGCGGCCATTTTGAAAAATTAGGGTTTTTTTTTTAGAAATCTAACGTCGAATTCGTTCTCGGGTCAAAATACCCCCGGATACCGAATTTCAGGTGAATCCATTGGCAAGAAATCGAGTTTGTCAAATTTTCGGCCACTTTGAGCCTAAACCAGCGGCCATTATGAAAAATTAGGGTTTTTTTTAAAAATCTAACGTCAAATTCGTTTTTCCCGTGTCAAAATACCTCCAGATACCGAGTTTCAAGCAAATCCATGTGCAAATAGCAGAGGTGCCAAGTTTCGGCCATTTTGAAACGGTTTGAGATATTGACTTCGGGTTTGCGCGAAAATTTTTCTCTTTTTATGCTCTTTCGAACGAGGTATCACAAAGGGGGTCTTTCCATTTGAAAAAACAAAGTTAGGGTCCGTAACCCCCCCAAGGGGGGGGTCCCCCAAAATTTTTCGGGGGGTCAAAAAGTAGCTCCCTTTGATCTAGGAACACCCTCCAAGTTTCAAATCTCTACCTCAATTAGGCCAAAAGTTAGAGGGGGGGGGAGGAGACTTTTCAAACACCCTGTATTATGAGTTTGAATCCATCAGAAACTAAGTCAGTCAAAATCAAATTTAACTACATAGGAAGTGAAAACGATTTGTATTTCGCAAATCAAGCAACCAAAGCAACCAAACTGTGTCAGAAATGTTCCCAAATTACTAGGTAAGGCTTTTATCAGCTCATCATCTGATCCAATAATTTTAATTGTGGCATTTCATTCGGCATGTTGCCGCACGACTTCTATGATACTCAAAGTCTCACATATATAATTTGAAAGGGGGAGTCTGGGGGGGGCGGCGCCCCCTCAGCAGGTAGCTTTTGCTACTTGTTAATTCATTTGTTTTCTATTTATTTTACAAGCATGATAAGAACACTTCAGAACGTTAATGCTATTGAAAAGTTGTACATACAAGATGCAAAGCAACAATGAGGGGGGGGGGAGGCTGAACCACAGAGCAATCAAGGGTGTAGCTCCCTAGTAACTTGATAAATTCACATGATTCCTAGTTTGATTGACCGTTATTTTAACAATGCCATTTTTAAATTATTTGTTTTTCTAAGGACTTCATTCTGGAGCATTACAGTGAAGATGGAACTAACTATGAGGCAGTCATCGTTGAATTTATGGAAATGCGACAAGTATGCTCTTTATTCTTTTCTTCAGAATTTCCTATTTAATGTGCCCACTCAAAAAGTATTATAATGAATTACTTTTGGATTTCCCTACCAAGTTCTCAATTTTTCTTCATCTTTTATCTTTCATATTACCTTCAGGTAACTAAGTCTCTTTAAGTTGGGGAAGGGGTTAGCAAATTTCCTCACCCTGGCATGCTTTTCCAACTGAAAACAGCAGCATATCACAGTGCCAGATATTAGAGCCAGACGAAAGCAACAGATATCGGTGAATGACAACGGGGTGTTTCAGCACTCATGCACCCATCGCTTCTGATGAGGTCCTAATCTTTATATTCCATTTTTCTGAAAAATTAGCATAAACTTTGCAGCTCAATCATTAATTGGACGTAACTACCACTTTCTTTTAAAAAGAAAGAAGAGAGAAGAATAAAACACGCGAGGATAATTTGTGGTAAATGGGTGTATGGCAAGGAAAGACAGGACATATCCAGATAAAAAAAATTGAACAATAAACCAAAAAGTGGCAGACACCAAGAAAAATTTGGGTATAAGTATATATAAACAAATCGGACTACAAAAAAAAGGAATACATGGTGACAATGGAATAATTCTTGAAAAATATCAATGAAAAATCTGCTGTAAAAGTCTAATAGTCATAACAAAAGAAGAATGATGTGGCTGTATGTTGCGTCATCAATTAGGGCCTTAAGTCCTTAAAAGGAGATCTGATGACAACAAGATAAGAGACTTCTAATCAAAAAGAGAAAGGACCTTGCGAGTAGAGTCATAATAACAGTTCGAGCACACCCATCAGTGTTGTAAATATTTACTTTAAATGCCTCATTTATTCTGGTCCAACATTATGCTGGGATGAACCCTATGAGTGCTTCCAGTCGTGGAATGACAGGAACAATGGTAAGTCAATGAGTGTTTTCAAATGATGTTCTTGATCTAAACTATGTTTATGGGCGTGTTTTTTCATAATTAATGATATTCTCGCGGGAAGAGACCTGCTACGCTTCCTCGCCCTTCTCCCTCTCCACATCTCCCTCCCACTCCTTCGCCCCCTGGTTCCTTCGGATACTGGACGAATGGGAGAGGGGTTTGATCATACGCTGCTGTTGTTTTTGTTCTAAACAACATTTATGGGTGTGTCGTTTCAGTATTAGTGTGATTATTTGGGGAAAGAAACTTGCGACGCTGCCGAGTCACTCCGGTTCCTTTGGATGCTGGACAAGTTATTGTGCTAAGCGGTTGTTGTTTTCGATTTGAGATTTAAATGTTGTTGCGTCAATTCAAAATTTCACCAGTATTTTCTAGCCAAGCCTTGATCTCGCTTTCTGAAGAAGGTTCCACTTTGAACTGAACCCCCCCCCCCTTAAAATTAGTTCGAAGTGATTTCTGCAGTTTTTACTTAATAGCGAACACAATTTTGTCCCGTTTTATTCTTTCCTTTACGATAATTTGAACCTGAGTTATGATTATTTTAAAAATGGTAAAATTTGACCTTTGGCCTATCATAACACGGTCAAAAATCAAGATATTGATCCACGATTTGAGCCAAAATTCTTACCTAGTTTTTTATGCTCTTTCGTATGAGGTATCACAAGATAGGGATTGTCATTTGGAAAAAAATTTGGGGCCTCCCCTCAGCTGAGGGGGGACCAAAATTTTGACCCCCCCCCCAAAAAAAATGGTGGTCCCCTTTGAGACATGAACATTCCCAAAGATTCATTATTCTAACTCGTACCGTTCAAAAGTTAGAGGGGGGGGGGGCTGGACTTTTGGAACACCCTGTATGGTGTTTTCTCAGAAGCAGCGTTGTGTTCTCTGACAGTTTCGGCTGTGTTCTCGGGAGTTGCACCGTGTTCTCGCCATTTTCCTGTGTGTTCTCTGGAGGTTAGGTTTTGGACACAAATGGCGCTCCGTAGCTTGGTCTTTTTTCGGCATTTTTCCACAGTGGCGAGATCTTAAATTTAGAAACAATATGAAAGGATATTTCCTAAGTTAGACATGACTCAAGTTTTTGGATTCTAGTATCTTTTAAAATAAGTATTGAAATGAAATGATGGAAAAGTTGGATTAAAAATTCAGGATGACTGTATTCAGAAAAAGTTAAGAAATTCGAGGATTGGTGTGATTTTAAATTAAGTAGAATAGTTTTGTATTCATAGGAGTGAGGGGTGTTGGTTATTAAAAGTTTATTATGGAATTCATGGAAAAATGTTAGGGGTCTTTTAGAAAAAAATATAATTTTGTACATAAACTCACCTGAAAGCCGAAGTAAAGAAGCGACCTTTATGTTCACTGCCCAGTGGGTCACTGGTTTTTGCTGAGAGTAGGATATACTACCCAGAGGAGAAGAGAAGCTCGAAAGTGAACAAAATTTGAAAAGAGATTGGTGTTTTCAAGTCAGCCAGGGGTTGTATACTCCGTTGGTTGAAACAGTGGCTGTTGTTTCTCTTGAAAGTTCCCGTCCCCTCTCTACTTCCCACAGTCGGACGAAACACATATAATTGGCTTCGATTTTAGACTTATGAGAGCTGAAACATGATGAGATCATGGTGCCGAAAAAGCCACAAATATTGAAATTGACATTAATGAATTATAGAAATGGACGTATTTACGCTAAAAGGAACTATGCTGCACGCAAATTCTATGCTTATAGTTCTTTTTTGCATAAATACGTCCAAATATGGATTATTGTGATAATATAAGTCTGTTCAGTAATGAATTATTTTCAAAATGAACACATGGTGAGCAAAAAATAGTTCTGAAATGAGTCAGAGACATCACAAATTTGATTGAAACGAGTTCCTTATGTCGTAAATCTTGTGTAGTGTTTGACAGGAACCAAAAGCCCATTGACATGATGAGACTCAACAGATGACTACCGATGAGTCACACTCCTGGCAAGACCAATTCGTAAATCTTGCGTAGTTCTTGGTAGAAACCAGAAGTCCATCGACATAATGGATCCTAACATACAGCTATCGATGAGTCACACTTTGTGGTGATGTTGTTGTTTGAATGTAGTCATTATTTATACAGGGTGTTCCAGAGCACCCGTCCACTATATTTTTCTCGGAAATGGCAGAAAATTGAGTTTCAAGACAATAACTTTCAATGGTAAATCAATGAATGAATGAAACGATGATAAAAATATTTACATCCCCCCCCAAAACCCCATGAGGGGGGGGGGTTAACGGAGGCGCCCCCCGTTTGACGCGTATTTCCAATAGGAAGGGTATGTTGTGACTTTGGATTTAAATTTCATGGCCAAAAATAAGAACTTTTTGTTCCATGCCTTTTTTCCCCAAACCCCCATTTTTTGGAGTTGTGGGTCATTTTTGGGGCAAATTTCAAGCAGACACAGTAGGCGTTAAAATTATCCGATTTTCAAAATCTGAAAGTCTCCTAAGAGAAGAAGTCAATGCTTTTTTATTGATGTGCCACATGACCTTGTTGATCCAAAATTATGGGGGCCACAACTCCCCAAAAATGTTGAAGCCTTGAAGGCCCATAAGTCGAAAATTTTAAATAGCATTGTTATGTTTTAGTTTCAGATTTGGATTCTACGCAAAAAGTTACGTTGAATTGATATGGCGTATAACCTACTTGCCCCTTTTTTCCTCCAAAAATACACAGTTTCTTATGGGAAATTGGGGTTCTAAAGTAATTTGGAGCAAATAGGCCGTGCGCCATATCAATTTTACGTAACTTTTTGCGTAGAATCCAAATTTGAAGCTGAAACACACCCTTGCCGTGTGAAATTTTCGGCTTAGGGTCCTCCAAGCCTCAAAATTTTCTGGGGGGGGGGGGGGGGGGGGGTCGTCGCCCTTGTAAGTTTAGATCAACAGGGGATATGTGGCACATCAATTAAAATGTAGATCAATCAATAAAGACTTCTTCTCTCAAAGGACTTATAGATTTTAAAAATCGGATAATTTTACCGCCCACTGTGTCCCAATTGAAAGAGCAATCTTAAGAATGGTCCAATTTAGGTCCAAAAAAATGGTACAATTAGGTCCGCAGGGATTTTTCTAAAACAGGGTCCAATCGATACCTTATGATACCCCAAAACTCTGGTAAAAATTTTAGCTTGAGTAAATGCACGGTTTCTGAGAAATGGGGGGGGGGTCAAAGTTGCCAAATCGCAATCGTTCTTGACAGCATTTTTACAGCAAAAAGACGGGAAAAATGGACGAAAAAGTTACACATTTGATGGGTTTTGGATGTGAATGTTCTTATTGGTCCCCGGTGCCTATATCCGCCTTCAGTTTAAACAATTTTCACCGCACCAAGGATCATAAATGGGGTAAATCCTGGACAAACCAGAATTCTTTGTCGAGCTTTTTAAAAATGGAAGTAAAATTGTTTGTCTCTTGCAGAGTTCATGGCTAACAATATTCCTATCGGTCCTTTATACATAAAATTAAGTTGAACTTTGCAAGTTTTTGTCGCACAGTGGTCCAAAAAGGGGGAACTAGTGGACAAATAAAGCTTCTCTGTCAAACTTTTTAAAAATGAAGTAAAACTGTTGGTCCCTTGTAGAGTTCAGATCCCAGACAAATCCATCTATTTAATTTTTTTGAATTAATATTGTATGTCAGACCATATCCTTTGCAGGACTTTGTTATAGATTAGATTTTGTAGCATTATTTGTTTTTGCTAATAATAATAAAATATGTGTGATAAGCTTATAATGTGTAATAAGCTTGTGTAAGCTTATTATGTACAAATAAAAAATTGCAAGCTTCTTTACAAGGTCACGGTACTAATCTTTAAAGAATTTATTTTTTCATTTGACCTTATTATTATTTTTACTATTATTATTTATTTTTTTCTCTCTTGTCTATATTTATATCATCCCAGCATAATGTTGAACTGAAATAAATGAGGCATTTAAAGTAAATATTTACAACACTGATGTGTGTGCTCGAACCGTTGTTTTTACTCTACTCTTGCATTGGCACAAAAAGAGATTTCTCCCTCACACCCAAAATGGAATCCTAAATCAAAACAGGATAGAGGCATCACAATAACAGGTAGATGGGAAGCAATGAACCCAATCCTATGTAACATGAAGAGAGTAGAGCAAGAAAGTAATAAAACACCCATCATTAGTGTATTAGAGAACAGAAAGTATTTCCGTTTCAGTCTGTTTCAATCAGGCATTGATAGCTCCATAGATATGAAATAGATAAAAAGGTCGGTGAGGGATGTAAAAGGGGTAAAGTACACAATCTGTTTCAAAATATCCCTTGTAATTAATAATTTGGTTTTTCTAATGTTTGATAATTTGATTGGATGTTTCAGGCAATGAGAACCCCAAACAGAGACAACTCTGGTATAGCTCTCCTTTTCCAATATTATAATCAACTTTATTTCGTAGAAAGAAGATTTTTTCCACCTGATAGAAGTCTCGGAATATATTTTGAGTGGTAACTTTTCATGCTTACTTTTCTCTTATTATTTTCGATTTATTTATTGATTGAACAATGAACGGACATAAGCCTAAGACAACAGATACAATACAAATTCTACAAGATGACAAAATAATTACAAAGTTCAAAAACTTAGTCAACAAAGAGATATAATAGTAGAAGAACTGAACTATAATAACAAAGGGAGATAACAGTAGCAAAATGAAGGAGTCATAGGAAGAGCATAGGGTCACAAGACCACAAACAGAAACAAACTGAACTTAATACTTTTGCGCGTGAAACCTACCCATATGCTTGAAAGAGCCATGATTAGAGCACTCCAACAGCTCTGATGGTAGCAAGTTCAACAGTCTGATCATCCTACACCTTGCTGAATCAAAGTCAAAATTGGTTCTAGCCTGAATCTCATGAAACTGCCTGCCTAACCGTAAAGTATAAGACACCTCACGTTGACGGAAGACAGGAAGCTCAGGAGACTGCAACAACCCATTCAAGATCTTAAAGCCGTAAACAGCATTGGAGTAGCTGTGCAACGAACAGACGGACGAAGTGTACGCCAAGACTAAAGATACATCACTGTAATCATGGTCGCAGAAAGACATAGGCATGCTTAATTTAAATGACACAAAATGCAGGATGAGATGTCGGGAAGACTCCAACTTATGAATGCCATATTGAGTAAAGGGGGACCAGATAACAGTAGAATATGTGAGAATAGGAAGACCCAGCGCATGAAATAAATATAGAATGGTGGAAACCTGAAATTTGGTGGACGCCCTTTTAATGAAACCAACCATCCTACAAGCTTTGCTAACAACCAAATCCATGTGATTTGAGAAACTGAAATCAGAGCTAAATGTTACACCAAGGTCTCTAACAGAATCGATCCTTTCCAGAGACTCACCGCAATAAGAGTAGTCAAAGGAAAGGGGAGAATGATGTTTAAAGAAAGATAAAATTTTACATTTACCCAGATTAAAATGTAAACTATAATTTGAGACCAGTCAGACAAAAAGTCGAGATCGGCTTGAAAGAAAGCAGCATAATTCAGACTAATAATTATAGCATAGACCTTAAGGTAATCAGCATAAAGCAAGGTACAAACAAACTTTAACCCCAAAACAAGATCATTTATAGAAAGCAAAAATAAAATAAGGCCAAGATGGGAGCCTTGCGGGACACCAGGAGAAACCTCACTAGTATCAGAAAGGACACCATTCCACCTGATTTGTCGGGTACATTCATAAGATATGAGAAAACCCAATGGACAAAATTATCGTTAAGACCAAAATTCCCCAACCTCCATGAGTTCAATTGAGTAAAGAGTTCAACTGAACATCAAGAGTGAGTGGTCAAGTGCCTTAGCAAAGTCGGTGTGCAAGACATCAACCTGCAGAGAGCGGTCAAGTGCATTGGCAACAAAATCACGGTACATTAAAAGATTTGAGACAACAGAACTACCCCTAACAAAGCCATGCTGTTGACTGCAGATCTTACTAGCTACAAAGCAATACAATTATGCTGCATAAAACTACATAGGCAGAATCGCTACTTCTTCAAAGGAAGAGAAGCCATGGAAACATCATTTCTGTAAGATATCTTAAAAATTCTGAGTCGATTAAGGGTCTGAAATGGAATTAAATTAGAGGCTGAGATTTTTACAGGACCCTGGCTTTTTTCAGGTTTTTTTTTTTAGGGAAGACAATATATCTTTTTTTACTTATACCTCCATGTTTGTTTCCTGCTCTACAACCTGATCAACCCAGAGAATAATTTCGAAAGAAAAGACTACTTACACCATTAAACCAGTTCTATAAAAAACTAGGCTTTTTTTGTAAACCAAGAACTTGCAATATGAATACACTTTTTGTTAACTCCAACCAAGTATCATATGTAAAAAGTAAATTTAAGTGAAATCTTTAGCATATGTAATATGCTTGAAGTAGAGAGCCTTAATCACATATTTTTCAAATGCCTCATACATAATGAATTTAGAAAAATCTGTATACCGAACCATTCAGAGAATCTAAATCTCCTACTTACGTATAACATAGACAGTACGGTAACTGTTTTCTTAACGCCGCTATGACAATCTGGTCATTTATAATGAATGAGTAGAAAATAATGCCAAGTTCAGCAAACATTGTATTACACAATGTCTAAAAGGTAGTAGCACTGATTATATTGGTATGTGGGGTGTAGCCAAGTGCAAAAAATAATGTAACATTTTCTATAAGAAAACACATACATTTTATTAATAAACTTTAACCAAAGCTTTTTGAAGCAAGCGCTTCATCATCAGGGTCACAAAGTATACATCACAAAGGCCATAATTTAATTTCAGACAAGGTAACAGATTTCAGTGGTAACAATTGAATACAAATTATCGGATCAAAACACTTTCAATATTCAAAACACATCAATGTATGCTTAGTACGTATTTCTCATCAGAGATGGCAGCACATTTTATGTACAGGGAATTACTTGTTAGATCTACCTCTTTTTGTACATTTAATAATTCTTCCCCTCTTTTTACCGCCTTAGTGATTTCATATTTTTCTAGGGTGCTTAGCATTTTTCTGTCCCTGTTTTTGTGTAGTATTTTAACCTTCATCTGATGATTTTTTGCTTTGATGTGCTTAAATATGTTCGAGGATAGAAGTGTCATGTGTTCATTAACTCTACAGTTGATTGAGCGCTCAGTTTTCCTGATATATATTTTCCTGCATGAATCACAATCTAAGCGGTAAATGCCAGTTACATTCTTGCTATTACCAGTATTGCCTTTACCTTTTTTTATTTTGTCGGTGACTTTCCATATCTGGTCTAGTATGCTGTTATTAGTCCTAAAAGCTGTCTTGTCTCTCAGACAAGACACCTCTTGTGCTCAGTTTTTTTGAAACATTTGCTAATTTTTGAGCTAACAGGGCGAAAATAATCAGATTTTACATACTTGTCATTATTTTTGGGTTTTTGGGCCTCATTGTTATTTGCATCACAGCACTGTTTTTTATGTCTCCTCAAAATTTTGTTCACAATATATTTAGAGAATTCATTAGTTTTAGCTATACTCTGGATAATTGCGATTTCCTCTTGTCTATGTTTATGACTAAGTGGAATGGAAAACACTCCATGTGCCATAGCACGAATTGCAGCGTGTTTATGGCTGTTAGAGTTATTTGAATGGAAGGGCATTATACTATTTGTAGCTGCAGGCTCATGGAATATTTTGAATTTGATGAGGTTATCCTTGTCAACAATTGCAGTAAGATTGAAAAAATTAATCTGGTTATTTTTCATATGTTCTATGGTCAATTGGATGTGTTTGGAGATGCTATTCAAGTATTTTAAGAATAAACTTATGATAAGGTCGGTCCCAACAAAACAAAGAAGGTATCATCAACATATCTGAATATTTTTTGATGTTTTTAATGAAAGGATTTTCATCCTTCATAATATTCATTTCTTCAAAATTATTTAAGAACACTTGTGCAATGGTACCAGAAATTGGTAAGCCCATAGCGACACCATTTTCTGCTTGGAATGTCCTACCCTTATAAATGAAATAGTTTTGATAGAGGATTTCTCTTGTCATCTCAACAAGCTCTTCCCTTTCATGGTCATTGACATGTCCAGATTCTTGAATATTTTGGTCTAAAATTTGAATAGCTTCGTCAGTGGGAATGTTAGCATATAAATTAACTATGTCCAGTGAAAACACTTATTGTCCTTTTAGGACTTTAAATTTATGCATCTTTTTGCAAAATGGGCACTGTTTTTAACATTATAACTATTATCTAAGTCTAATATATTCGTTATTATTTTGCTCCATTATGTGCTGCCATCTCTAATGAGATATAGGCACTAAGCATACATTGATGTGTTTTGATTATTGAGAGTGTTTTGATTACTGAGAGTGCCTTTAGTAAATGATCTTAATCTCCTGATACTCGTAATGCTCTTAATGTAGAACAATTCGGCTCTTACTTTTTAACCTTTTCATGCTTTTTGTAATTCTAATGTTTTCAAAATCTTTAATTCCTTAAGTAAAAAGAAAACAAATCTTTTAACACACTTCATAAACTCTCCATTTATATACTGGCAAACAGTAAAAATGAAGTAATTATCTCATACTATCTATTTAATATATTTTAGGTATGATTCATTGACTGGAGTCCCCAGCTGCCAAAAAACTGTTGCGTTCGAAAAAGCATGCGTGTTGTTCAACATGGCAGCAGTTTATACACAAATTGGTGCTAAGCAGGATCGTCTCACAGAAAAGGGCCTGGATCAAGCTGTCGATAGTTTCCTTAGAGCAGCTGGCACATACACCTATATTCAGGAAAATTTCACAAACGCACCTAGCATGGATTTAGCGCCTCACATGCTCGATATGCTGGTCCATCTTATGCTGGTGAGGAGTATGTTTTCGATACCTCGGATGCCTCTAGTAAACTGTGTATCTGATAATAATATGCGGTTGCGAATCCTTGTGGGCGTGCAGTAGGGTGGAGCGTTTTTGGGCTTTTTTTTTATTTTGAAAATGGACATAGCAGAGTAGTTGTGAAATGGTCTAAAAGTAACGCCTGAATTTTCCTGAATTTTTTCGTCAACGTTTAGGCCTCCCGGATTGACGTTGACGTCAAAATTAGCGGAAAATCCGGGTTTTTTGACGATAACTTGGCAACAATGGCAAATACGACAAAAATGCATAGAATCAGAGTTGTTGGAAATTAAATTTCCGACAAATCACTTTCTTATCATTTTTTCTGTAAGTGCAACCGTTTTAGTGTAAAATTCGAAAACCCGTATTTTTCCGGATATTCGGCACAAATTCTCGTTCAGTCCGGGAGAAATACGGTAGAAATACGGGAGAAA